GGGATTCGAATCCAGGAATTCAAAACAGAAAATCTTATTTAGACATTATGTTTCATCTCTTTATTTATCAGGGCATGACATATGATAGTATAAGTAATGGAGTGTAAACTCCATGCAATCGGTCTTTGGGGAATTCCTCTTTCCTTGCTGAATCAATCAATAATTTTGGGTTCCCAAGGTCACAGGGGGATCGCACATGTATTTGTATTCTGCACTCAATATTCTTAGGTCACATATTGCTATAGTCTTTTTTCTACAGCCCACAACTCAAAGGACTTTGGCCTGATGAGGCAGCCAGAACAACGAACAATGAAAGGGAAAAAAAATACGAAACCCCTCTTAAAAGCTTAAAATCACCTTTCACTTGACCCTTTTTCTCACCCTCTCTGCTCTGCTGTGGCATGGTCAGCGGCATGTGAGTTCTGTACAATGTAAAGTGAGACTCAGCGACAAAATCCACAAGAGAACACTGACCCATTGTTCCACTCAAGGGATTTCACCTCTCTCAGTTGTGGATACAGCCGCTATATCACGTTTCATGTTTTTTCACGGGTCTTTTATTCCTCTTATACTACTGCGTAATTTTTTTGTGTATCGAAGAGTGGTGTTCTCCGAATAAAGAATACATGGTGCTGCAAAGACTAATCTCTGCTTTGCAGTGGTTATAATGACTGCCTGACAGCACTTCTCTTGCATATTTAAATGGCACTGTTGTAAAGGAGGTGTTTCTAAACCCGTATAAAACACCCTTCACATGAATGTCTTGGAGCTTGAGGGTGCTAGAGATCTCAAAGATCTTCCTGCCTGCAGGGATGCTCAGAGGGAACAAGACTTTGTCTCTCAGTAAGAACTCAACCTGACAGCAGTTCCCTGTGGCCTATATTTTAACACACAGCCATTAGAGAAGGAGGTTGCTCGAAAGCAGGAATGCCAACACTTTTTGACATTTGATGGACTGAAGCTTACGGAAAAATGGGCCAGTGGGCAGTCGGACTGAAGCCGTCGAATGGACTATTTATTGCATTTTAGAAATACGCATTCTAAGGCTACATAACATTGAAATATTTCTCCAAATTATTGCTTTTAAAATAAGTACGGTAATGTGGTAGTTACACAAGCATATGCATATGGCCCTGCTTCGCACTCAAATAAACGTTATCTTGCTATAAATAATCTCTAATGAAATTGAAAAACATCTCAATTAATGTTTTTACAAGTGGTTTTAGTCTGCCCTTCACTGAGCATGGCACATCAAACCACTGCCATGCACACCATTTTTGATAAGACTTGGACTTAGCAGCAAATCTTTAAATAAGAAAAACAACAGAGAAAATAAAGGACATTTTGAGTTTTAAATGTAATTTAGCAAGCTGAAAGGTCATCAATTATACCAGCCACTACATGTAAATTACTGTACAAGAGTCACACTTAATTCCAAAGTAGCAAAGATTTAGGGATGCGTTACAGATGCATCGGCTAAACTTGCAGAGAATCTGACAGTTTTCTGTTAAAACCCTTTCTGCAACACCTCATTCCTCCACATAGTGTCACTGTGTCTGGACTGTAGGGGCGTCCAGGCAAGGATCAGTCACATTCTGTTAACCCACTTCAAAATATGAAGATAATTTATGCTTGATCCTTGGACACAGCGCATTTGCATGGTACACATTCTAATTATACCATCAACTAATAGGTTATACATGAACAAATATTTTTCTATGAGCCAAAGAGAAATACTCCAAGCTATGTAGTTGAGTCATGGCACCCGCTATACATAATATATTTTACTCTGAAGCTTATAATATGTAGTTTTAGAAGTAAAATGTTCATTTGATATGATTTTATGCAATGCTTCTATAGATTTTCTTTATTTTAAGACATCCACCAAGGGTACTCAACATTCTGTGCACAAGATAAAAACATGCATAAAGTATGTACAGTATTTCTAAATAATGTATTCACATATTACAAGCACAGTGCTGTGCTGTAGGTCTGTATGTTCATATCATTCATTATTTAAACATTAATAGATGTACTTCCCTTTCAACAGTACTGCATGAATTTGACAAAAAAAGGAGTACATATTGTGCATTTTGTCTATATGTTTTTAAATGATGCATTTTACCAATATGTTGACACTGATTAATCTGCTAGGCTAAAGCTGTGCCAGCTGGATCAGACAGATTGTTTAATCATGTATCCAATTTCCATTGAAAACATACCTCAGCTCATGCTTTCACCAGTTCTCCATGCTATTAAATGTTACCCTCCATCTTTTCTCTCCGTGTAAGACCAAATGCAAAGTAGGCCCTTGGATGAACAGTTAAATATTTTAGATAATACAATACATAGTGTGCATTAAGAGCAGCTTCACTATTCACCCCCGACACGTGTGATACATTTGTTCCATTTCTCATGGAATATCTCCACGCACACTCTGACGCACATACTCATCTAACTATCTCCATTATGCCCTTGTAGTGATATGTTTACTGTGGTTGTCCTCTGATTTCCTTCCACGCTCCTTCTTGTTTTTTGGCAGCTCGTAAGAATCCCAGTTCATCGCGGTGCCATAAGCCCTGACAAGAGGATCAATCAGAGCTAATGAAGCCTGGGAGGAGGTGAGAAACCGCGAAGAGCTAGGGATGGAGCTAAAGGAGGAGTGAATGGGGGAGTAAGGATGGGGCTTCGGGGGAGGGAGGGGGGAGTGTTGGGGTTGCAGGATGAAAAAGAATAGGAGAGGGAGAGGATTAAGAAAAATGACACTTCCTTCTCACCTCCTCGCTCTGTGCAAGGAAAAACTAATTCCCCCTTCCTCAGTTATGACCTCTGAAATAATCATTCTCCTCATCTGATGGCCCTGGCCTGACACACATTTCAATTCAGCAACAGCAGCCCCCAGTCGATAGGACTGGGGGCTGCTGTTGCTGAATTGAAATGAGGCATTTTGATACTGCTATCCCGTCTGAACTGTTTCAGCAGAATGTTTTATTTATAAAAATGTTGTGACGTATTTACTATCTCTTTTAGTGTCGGATCAAGCCATAGTATACATAGAATGCCTATAAACTGCAGTGTTATAGGAGTAAGTGCTCAGTTAATTTCATATAGAAATTGACTGCATTGATGAATATCAAATCAGACTCAGAACACTTCAATATTTGTGTTAGACGTTTTCATCCCGCAGTTCATTTTTAGCAGGATAATACACAATTTGCTTCCTAATGGATCGTCTAATAAAGCACAAATGAAGAGCCTATTATGTTGTGTTACCCACACCGCTTTAACATTATGCAAATGTAATTTCTAATGATGTTCACTATACACATGTTTCCTCCTCCTAGCACTGGTAATTAAGAATGTGCCAAGAAGCTTTATGAATGTGTGATGTGTGATTAATGTGAGGTGGTACAGTCAGACAAATAGATTACACCACAGAGTGAACAGTGGAGGCAATATAAGGTGGAGGGAGGGGGGCTCTGCTTTGATCAATAATGGTGTAACCTCAGGAGGGGAAATAATTACACATGCCCCGGATCTGAACCACCTGGGGTTGATCCACACAGCTGAATTGTTCGTATTAAGATCACCAACACTTCACGATCACTGCTGAGATGAGCACTGCCACCTCGGGAGCGTGGCCCAGAACTCGCATCCTTCAACCAAATCCCAAGCTCCTCATTATTGCAGCCTTACTCCTTGATGTACCATAATCCTCTGTCATTGGCTCCCCGGCTGGTCATGGCTGGTGAGTATCTCCTGGACATCTCGCTGTGCATCGGAGACTAGGCAGGGGGGGGGGGGGGGGGGGGGGGGGGGGGGGGGCGGGCAAACGCAGGAACAAAGAGGGGCTGCAGAGTCATAAATCTCCTCACAAACTCAATGCAGGAAGTACACGGAGAGGCTTTCTGGTGATAGCTTCTTCTGTCGCCTCACCTATCATCGTCTCCCTATCTTTCTCTCCCTTTGCTCACTCTCATTACTCCTCCTCTGTTATGTCATGTCCACATTCAATTTTCTCTATGCCTAATAACATCTCAATGTCAAGTATCCATGCATATGTCTCTGTCAGCACTGTCCTGTCATGTGCACACACTTCCCGATCGTGGATCGCACGCTCCCCCTATCGCGTATACTGAGCAGAATTTTAACATGGGGGGGGGGGGGGGGGGGGGGGGGTTAATGAGCCCATGCAATCCATTCTGCTGCTAGGATTTTTGAATGTATTCTGCTGTTAACCATGCCCCATGAACACGCTGTTCATCATCACCCTGACTCACGGCATGCTAACATGGTCAATTCACTTTGGATTCAGATTCTTCAGGAGGCATCATTCACAATATGTTAGGAACTGCGATGGCAAATCATAGGGTATTACGTGAAAGTAACCCAACCTTAACAATTCTGAAGATGCCTTTTGGTTTTTCCATTTTACTTCTAAACATTGTGTTCGTCACGCTTCTCTTACTTCTTTGTTACTTTCTTCCTGTTCTGTTATGCTCAGTTTCCACTTTCGCTCAAACCCTTGGGGATTTTTCTTTACCTGCAGTTTCAGAGCAATTGATTACACCACACTCCACCTCACCATTTCTCTTTCCCTGTCTGAGCCCAACACACGCACATACTCTCATCTCTCTTCCTGCCTCACTGTTCTCTGGACTTTTCCACACGTATCACTGCCTTTGCAGCAAAGAGAAGGGAGCCATGTGGCGGATGTATTCACACACAAATATACCGACACCTACACACACAGGGGCTGATGCTCTGTGCAAATAGGCATAAACAAACACTCATAATAAAGGACAAATCCTGAGAGACAGGAGGTCCAATCTCTGTGTGGAGAATGAGAAGAGAGGAGCATTCAAGAGAGAGCACACACGCACATTTACATCCTTTCCATTTCTTCTCTCACCCACTCTGCCTCTCTTTCTCCCTCTCTCCTCTCTCTCTCTCTCTCTTTCCCTCAGATGCGCACACACACACACACACGCATACACACATGCAAAGGCAGACCCCCCTCTCACACAGGAGTAGATCGAGAGCAGTGAAGAGCAGAAGGAGCAGGGTGGCAGGAGTGAGGCAGGAGAGCGGTTGTTGATTGAACAAAGCCAGGAAAGGAGTGCGCAGTCCTGGAGAGAACAGCAGCTAGTGAAATGCCTCGAAGGGAGCCTGCCAGCAACTCCTGCGGAGACCTGAAGGTAAGCTTCGTGCACCGCTGATGGAGCAAAAGCAGAGGAAGAGACAGAGAGAGGATGGCAAAAGAAGGAAATGGGAGGTTTTGAAAGCCGCTGATGCATGGTACAACTGTGGCTCCACGTCCAAGCTGCCTCCTCTCAATGTGTCTGTGGATGGCATCGCATGCTGTGATTGCATTATGTGTTTCGTTACACATCCAAAGATCCCATCTGGAGTGGCATATACAAAAGTGTGCATTATACTTGAAGGAAGATCAAAAACTAGAGCATGGGAGACGAGGACAGAGAAGATTAGATACAACGCAAGACACTTCAGGAGAACGAGAGCAGGGAAAGGAAAGTGGTCATGGCTGGATTACCCTCCTCCATCAGCTGCAACCTGTATCACCACATCTCGCCTCCTTTTTGTCATTTGTCACTGCAGAGATCCATAGATCATCGTCATGCCCTCATGGCGGAGGCAGGGTAATCAAATCAACAATGGGTTTCTCTGAGCCTGTCAACACTGGGCATGCATACTCGTGCGACGCGCTATAGTTCTACAAGCGCAGTGGCATCAGCGGGAGCAAACCCTGACTCTACATCTACAGTAGATGTGTGTTACTGTAAGTGTGTGGAGGAGGGGGTGCTGTACAACGCAGCACAGCATGTTGCACCTCTTACATGTTTCTATAGCATCAATACAAGCAGGAGATAAAGGGAATTCACAAAGTAGTGATGGCTGTTTGCAGGGTTTTCATTCATATTGTAGGGTACATCAAAAGCAATGAGAGAACATTATTTATATTGATTCCCTTAACACATCTCTCTGCGCTGAGGATGAGGGCTTCTTGCTTTAACGTAGGATGTCCACTACAGTCTTCTCCGCATGTTCAGTGCACATCTCCACAGTTGTTGTTGTAAAACTTTGATGACAATGCAGTGGCTTTAGCAGCCACATTAATCCAGTGCAGGTTCCCCAATGCTGCTGTCCTTCCCATTAATGCATCATTAGGGAATGTGAACAGCGTCATGGCAGCGAAAAGACTCAATAATTATTTTTTAATATCTGTTCTCTGGCACAACGTGGAGGAATAACAAGCCATATCCTCTCTCATCAATAACCACATTTTTGCATATGGTACATTCTAGAAATCCTAGTCTGACAGGGTGTTTTTCATTGCAGGCTTTGCAGCATAACCTTCCAACACTTGTTCAGGCTACTTTTATAACTGTAAAGGACCCTGCTCACCGGCTATTTACAGAGTGTCAGGGGGAAGTAGTACATACTGTTTAGATGTAATGGTTTTTGATGGATGGCCTTTTGGCCTTAATAACAGCACTATCTTTGTGGTTGTGGCACTATCTCTAACCTGTTCGGTTATAATCTATAGGATCTTAGGAGACTCTCAGAAGAGAAGACACTGTGAGTAATTAATTGGATCTGTTCATTTAGTCAGAACTGAGTCCCTCTATGGGATGTAGGCAAAGCTATGTTCTTCAAGCAGATCAACACTTTCTAATACCGCAGCGGCGCATTCATGTCAAGGGCTTAGCCAGGCGTGAAGTTATTTTTTTTTTATTTTATTCCCTGGAAAATGCGTATGTGAGAGTGTTGCAATAAAATAGAGTATTTTGCGTAAAGCTGCCAATAGACCTACATGAAGATGCCTAATTTATGCAGCTCTACATATATGTACATACTGTCCTTCAGTTCTAGTGCCTATGCTTCCTTCTTTGAAAAAACATTGTGTATAATTCATAAGCCCTACAGTTTGTGATCTGTGTATGAATATATTACATATCTTGGTATTTGGATAAAGCAGAATAGCAGCATTCAATGTCCCACTCAATTTCATCAACCCTCAAGGATTCCCTCAGTGTATCCCCTCATAAATCTGTTACTGATGCATATTTAAGTAGCCGTGTCTACTGTATTTTACAAAGTCACCTGCCTGCTTGTGTCCCATATGTATGGTTTGTCGGTACAGTGTACATGGAGGTGCTCCATTCTACATGCTGAACAAACACATCTTCACCTTCTGTTTGGCAAACAGATGGGAGATTATCTCCTATACCAACAGAAATGGACATGAAAGTGCACCAGATTCACACACCTTAATAGTCCAACATTTAGATAAGAGATAAGGGCTGAATACAGCTCGCTGGCTCTGAGGGATTTTATGCAGCTGTCTTCTGTAAAAACATCAGAAAAAGTAAAAAAAGAAAATGGCTGCTTGTTTTCAGGTCACCTTGCTTTTAGCGGCTGTCAGTGTGCTCATCTGCAACAATACTTTTCAGGGGAAGGAATATCATTGAGGAAACTATCGCGGAACCTGAGATACTTTGAAGAAAATACATGATAAAGATTACATTTTGACAATTTGGAAAAAGCTTTTCAGTATACAACTTCAACGTTTGCCCTGAAAAATCTTGCTTGTGTTCTTATCTGTAAGAAGCGAGTTATTTGGGATGAATTGGAAGTTTTACCGTGTCTCTTGCTGCAGGCTTAGCCAGTAGGGCTAAACCAGCCTGTATAATATTTTAATAAAGGAGGATCCCAACTACTATTTATGAGAACCCCTTTTGTTATGCATGGCAGAGATGCAGTGATGCCCTGAGTCTAACTGATAAACATTCAGGTCAGGCCAGTTTAAACCACATGAGTTTATTGAGGGACAGGATCCATGCATTCATGTATGCACTGTAAGTATCACATATTAAATGCTAGCTGATATGGAAATTGTTTCGTTTGTTAAATTATTTAAAGACAAAAAGACTACAGTCTCTTTAATTGGCCAGTATAATGAATGCCAATGAATATGATTTATTAACATTAAGGCCCTAGCCACACGGAAACGAAAACGAACCGAATTCGATATCAAAAAAGTCTTCCGTCCACACGCAATAGGCACCAGAAACGTGTCCTTCCACACGAGACCGCTCGACCCGCTGGAGACGCTGTAGTACATATGCCGGGCCTGTAAGTGGCGCTGTACTTCCACCACAAAATACACCAAAAGCAGCGAAGAAGACTTCCCGAGCATTGTTGCCATGGTTGCCCTTCTGTTTATTCTCCGCGGTGGATTTAGCAGCAGAGGTGGGGAGAGAGGCAGGGGCCAGGGCTCTGGCTCTTTCTCTTTTTCTCCCTCCCCGAGGCAAGCGTGTGCTCCTGCTGTAATTCTCCCCGGTAGTCCACCAGCAGATGAAAAACACCCACCTCTCCGCCTCTTCCAAGGGACGAGGGAACCGTGCAGCAGAGTTGCCGTTAGAATTGTTTTCCGCCGGTCAACAAGTTTAAATCTTCCGGACAAAATTAGAAAAGTGCCGGTCAAAGGTCTTCTTTGTTATTTATTGAGCTTTAAAACAAATGAATAACGACGGAGCCTCTCTTTTCCTCCCACTCTCCTGACAGCCCGTCAGTATTTTCGTTATCAGGAAATGATCGTATAGGGCCGTTTTGGCCCCCCAGAGCGTTGCGTCCGCAGATCTACCCACCTTGGGACCCGTTATCGTTATCGTTATCGGTATCCGCGTTTCCCTGTCGGCCTCGTGTGGCCGAACTGTCTATAAGATAGAGAACTGTAGCGGATACGACCCGTTCCGTCACCGTGTGGCTAGGGCCTAAGGCACATAGCGCCGGCAGCTCAGCTAAATGCACAATACACAACCATATTCAAAGGGCTTTTTAGCATCACATGCAATGCAAATAAAGTACATTCATTATGCATACAGTTAATGTTGAGGATTTAAAAAACATTCACATTGCTTATGACTGGGGTATCATTAAGATGTAAGAAGCAAACACTTTCAGGTTTCCACTACATCTGGAGGGATTCTTCTTTTTTTATTTTTTGCATGGTTTACATAAGCATCTATGAAGCGTAAGCATTTGTCACCCAGGGGAAGCACATCTCCATGAATTTGCAGCTCATTAACACGGGCAGAGGAGGGAAATACCGTATGGTAAACAGGGTCTGTAAAGTGACAGCATGGAGTTTTTTGTATTTGACACGCTTCTTTTAACAATTAAATGCACCAACTTCCTTCATATGTAAATGTATTCTCACCATGATCCACTGCTGGCATGGGATGTTTAAGCTTGTGAATATATCACACCTTGTAAAAAAGACACTGGGGAACTGTACTTATAGCCATATAAGCTGGTGTAAGGATTTTTAACACGCAGCTATAGGGTTGTGATCTAATTTCATTGTGACTTGGTTATGTGATAACTATAGAGAAGGAGGCTCCTCAAAGGGACATGCAGGGGGACAGTGAAGCATGTCAGGAATACCAATTAAGACCATTTGACCTTTGGCTCCTCCACCATTCACCATGCGTCTTGTTCTGCAGCCCCGCCCCAACCGGCTCACTGCCTCCCACTCTGTCATCTTCCCCTGCTCCCCTGTCCTCTACAGTAAGGTGAGGCCTAGGATTAATGAACCATATGTAGAATAGTAGCATCATGTTCGATGCAGAGAAGTGGTTCGGATTTAAAAACAATTAGCAGATTTATTTGTATATAAAAATGTCATTCTAAATGTTTATTTTGCTCAGTAATCATCCGTTTCTAAGATGGAGCAGTGGCATAGGAAATCTCGGATCAAACGCAATGAATCCCATCAAGAGCCTGACAGAAACGCCTGATAAGAAGACGTATCAAGGTGTTAGGGAGCATGCCCAGCCACCCTACATCACACATCTCACGTCTCTAACCCCCTGTCTCTTTCCATCGCATCTCCAGGCGTGCCTGGTTGAAGAGGGTGTCATTTGGCTCTGGTAGGTGTTGGGTTTTAATCCCATCCAAGTTCCACTCAGCAGCAATGTGAAATATTGGCCATCACTTGTTTTTGGTTTTTATAATACTCATCTTAGTGGAATCAGATCTGAAGCAACGGACAAGCTATTCTTGTCTTCAACAACTGTAATTTCTTTTTGAAGGGGGTTGAGCAAAATGTACTGTAAGACAGGAGATGGAGTGAGGGACAGCGAGTGAGGGGGGTGTGTGTGTGTGTGTGTGT